TGAAAGTATAGTTGGATAGAACAACACCTGTAACTTTTCATGCATTCTTTAGTAACGTATGCAGTGCCAGCAAAAATAAAACGAGATGGACTTGAGCTGATCTAAGTCCCATCCGTAAAGGCCAGACACATAAACCGGACACATGAATACTTTTCACAGTTTGTATGTAAACCGATGAACAACACTGTAAGGTTGAATCTCAAAAGCAGACTAGGGAGGACTGAACATGCTCTTTGGCTAGGAAATACTGATTAATTTTTGTGGGGGAATAGAAACCAAATGGATGTAGAATGAAATTAACTATGCTGGAATATGTCACAGCTGGCTAGCTGGAACTCTAAACAGGACTATCCCACCTTGCAACATTCTCTTGCAGGTGTCTTCCTAGACTGATCATTTCTACAACCTTACCTGATTGGAGAATCAGATTCTGAGCAACACTGAGGGCAGATGTCTTCACTTGGTTCTTTGCATCCTTCTGCTGCACAGGAATAGTAGCCAGCATTCTTTGGCAATGCATAGACTATGTATTGAGCATTTTGAAATGTTGCTTTCTTGAATGAAACAGGAGCCCCATCTTTACAGGAAAAAAATCTGGTCAGCATAACCTCTTATGGAGCCACACATAGTGCTGTGATAAATTCCCCTTCATGAACCAAAGTTGCATTCAAAAATAAATCAGTAGCAGGAAGTTTACCTAGAGAACGAACGAACTGAAGAAATAAAGAGCCTAAATGAATAAAGAGAGTAAGTGAAAATGTTTTTGCAATAGAGTGAACATTTGAGTAATCATGTGGAATTAGATTGCTTTATAACCTTTATTTTTGTCTTACTGTATTTCTTTTTAAGCACTGTTCTCCCCCTCCCCCAATAATTGTTTGTTGTATACTGCCTTCATTTATTTCTTTTTTGGTGGAAAGTGCATGCAATGTTCTATTCTGTTTTATTTATTTAAAGCATTTTAATGCCACCTCCATTTTTATTTAGACATTTGGGGTTGTAAACTCTCTATTTAATTTTTTAGAAGGTATAGAAGATTAATAGTTAGGTGAGCAAAAAGATCTTATGAGGAAATCCTATGTCAAGTTTCCAATAGGATGAGAATTTTAGGATACAGCAACTCTGAATACTGGCCAGCATTCTTCGAGAATGCATAGACTATTTATTGAGCATTTTGGGATATTGCTTTCTGGATGAAATAAGAGCCCCGTCTTTACAAAAAAGAAATTTGGTCAGCACAACCTCTAATGGGCAAACACATAGTGCGAAGATAATTTTCACTTCAGGAACCAAACTTGCATTTAATAAGCAAACAGGAGCAGGAAGCTCACCTAGAGAATGAAGAAAGAAAGAAAGAAAGAAAGAAAGAAAGAAAGAAAGAAAGAAAGAAAGGCATAAGTGAATGCAGAGAGCAAGTGAAAACTTAATTGCAATGGAGGACGAATATTCAAGCAGTTCTGTGAAAGTACGTAGATTGCTTTATCGGCATTACAGTGGTACCTTGAGTTACAAATGCTTCAGGTTACAAACTCCGCTAACCAGGAAAAGTTACCTCGAGTTGAGAACTTTGCCCCAGGATGAGAACAAAAATCATGTGCCGGCGGCACAGTGGCATCAAGAGGCTCCATTAGCGAAAGCACGCCTCTAGTTAAGAACAGTTTCAGATTAAGAACAGACCTCTGGAATGAATTAAGTTCGTAACTAGAGGTACCACTGTATTTTCTTTCTCATTGCTTTGCCTTCCTAGCACTTCTCTTTGTGCTCTTTTATATTGCATCTTAACATGTTTATTAGTTGTACACACACGCACAATCCTGCAGTTCTTTACATACTTACCGGTGTGCACAGGCTTCACAGGCTCAAACTAACCTGTCGAAGTGCAAAGCTCTGAATCTTTGCCATCACCCAAACACCAGTGATTTGCAAGCAGAGCACCTGCAATGACATTCATACAATATGTTAACACTATGTTTTAACAAGAAATAACAAGGGCAGAGCAATGATTTAAGAATTCTCCTAACCTACTGTTTTTACTTCAGCCTTTTTTGGAGTGGCTTAAGTGTTTTCTAACAATCCCTGGAAATTTCTAATAACTATATTCGTGAATTCCTTTCCCAGTTTCCCAAACATTCAGAGAATCCAGAAGAGATTCATCAGGGCAGAGTAGGAGTTGGCTTCCCAATCTGACGTTGCCACTCTTGACTCTCAGGTCCTTCTACTTCTCTCACAGATGAGATGGAAATGATCAAGACATTTGCAGCATGCATGTTTCTGTCCCCTCCCCCAGGGCACACCCTCACATGTGGCTGCAGCTACAAGTTAATGATGTATAATTTTTACACCATTCCTTCTGGTGAACTATTCAATGTACAGTGGTACCTCGGGTTACAGACGCTTCAGGTTACAGACTCCGCTAACCCAGAAATAGTACCGCGGTTAAGAACTTTGCCTCAGGATGAGAACAGAAATCGCGCGGTGGTAGCGAGACGCCCCATTAGCTAAAATGGTACCTCAGGTTAAAAACAGTCTCAGGTTAAGAACGGACCTCCAGAACAAATTAAGTTCTTAACCCGAGGTACCACTGTATCTCTGACCCTCAGGCACATTCACTTAGAGAATATTTGATGGTCAGAAAGGCAGCTTTTCATCCATTATCCCATTTACTCCCCCCCCCCGAAACCCCTCTGAAAATGAGTAAATTAGTTCACATGATAGAGAGTCAGACATTAATCGTGGTTGAAAATTCCTTCTAAGGATATAAATAGGAAACATTTTCCAGGATAAAATGAATGGGCCTGCACCCAAGCAGCTAATGCCCAAGATACATACCCATGCACACAAACCACCCCCATGTAGCATGGCCACCCCCATGGCCTATAAAGACTGCATTGAGAGACCACGTGGGCCACAGGTCTGTATGCCACAGGTTCTCGATCCCTATTCTAGCAGTTTCTACTGTTAAACTGGGTAGAGCAAGTCCGTTCACCCTTTTGGCGTGGCAGCACTGCGGGTTTTGAGCTCTAGCTCTGCCTGGCCTGCTGGCTTCACAAGCAGCAGAGAGTGGTGCCAGAGCAATCATCAGTGGCGTGGCAGCAGTGGCATGTGCGCTTGGGCTGCAGGGCGGCAGCGGCGTAATTATTTTGGCCAAGGAGCAGCAGCGGCTCGATCATCCTCAGCTAGTGAAGTCTCCATTGTGCAGTCTTTGAGTGTTCGGCCCATGGGCTCAGCTGGCAGGAGTGGCACTATTTGCCTTATCAAAGCAGGTGATTGGTGGTAAACAAGAAACAAGAACAAAGTGTCCTGCGATTGGTCAGTGCCATTTTAGATGTTTTAATTTTTTGTTAATAGCTTCTTAGAGTTTTATTGTATCACTTTATGTTTGATTGCTGTATGTTTGTTACATATATATATATATATATATATATATATATATATATATAGTTATTTTAGTTATACATACAGTATATTTAGTCATATAGTGGTATACAAATATTTTTATAGATAAGTAAATAATAAAACAATCCATTGCCATTTATTATGGTCATCTGAAGTTTTATCTCGCTTTCTTTATGGGCTCTGTAAATTCAGAACTGGATAGTTAACTATTCCAATATGATTTAACGAAGAGGAGACTGGCAAAAGAGGTGGGGGGGAACTGTTGAAGAAGAAGGATGGTTGGTCTCATATTGGTAAGAGGATTTGACTGATTTCTATCTATGGCACTACAAATAAGGTTTTTAAACACCAGTAATGGCTAAAAGTATGAGCAAATTAGCAGTGGTAAACAAATTTTTTAATGTCAAAATTGGTTTTAAAAACAGTTTTCTTGCTAGAATGCCCAACACTATTCCCACTGCTTTGTCCTCCATGGGAAGTGTCTTGGCTTGTCATGCCAAGTATTATTTCTTCAGAAGACTGGATCAGAGGTTCTTCCAAATGGCTTGGGAATCTAATACGGCTTATCTATAATGGACTCCTGTATTCTGAAGGCTTGTCAAAACTACAATGTCATCTAAAGCAGCAGACATTCTATCCACATGTTGCTCCTGCATTCTGATCTGTACTGTAGGCCTGTATGATAAATTGGGTCCTCCCTTAAAGAGGCACGTGTTGCAGTGAGACCTGGAAAACCGGCACCCTGTGTTGTGGGTGGGTACAATTGGTCAGTCACAACACCCGATTGGTAGGTCCCTCAAAGCTGGGTGCAATCTGGCCACTGGGACACAGTCCAAACGGTTTGAGGGACCTATTTATGCCCATGCACGTGACCCAGAGCTTCCTCTTTCAGCACGTGCATTCGGAACACCTGCCCACCTCACCCTACTTTTAGGGCTTTGCGCTTGACCTTGTTATGCTGTCTTGTGTCATCTGTCATTGGGACAGGGGCACGGCAGGAATTTTCCCCACTTGGCTGATTGGCTGTTTTTGCCTGCCGTGTAGCAAATCATCACAACTTGTAAGGTTTTGGATAGGCTCTGGTTCAGGTGATAGGGATGGAAGAACACTCTTGCCATCCCTATGTGAAAGGTATTCCGTTAAAGGAATCCAGGGACTTGATGGTTTGGTGAACCCCTGAGAGCGGGTTGGGCCCAAGCCTGAGTCCAGGGGGGCATTTGGGTGGTGGAATAGCCTGTTAACGGCTTTCTGCTTATCCAGGTGTTCACCCTTGGCTGACCTATGCTGGAACCCTGGGTCAGCGCTACCTGCATGGCAGGGAGCTAGTCAAACCAGAGCCTATGCAACCATTCACTTGCTGTAATCAATAAAGTTGTGGCCTAAATTCTGCCAAAAACCAAACCAAAATTTGAGTCATGTGTGAATTTATTTAGGGGGGAGGTTTCTGGGTCTGAACACACAACTGCCAATTATCAATACATTGAGATACCTTCTAATAACTCTCTGAAACAAAGTACAGTGAATTACGAAAGTACAGTGAATTACGGAATTATGGAACTCAGTGAGCTTCGGGTGGTGGCGGTAGGGATTACCAGTCAATATCACTTGTTATTCTTGCAAAGGATTATTGCATCTGAACCAGGAAGCTGCATCCTGATTCTTTTTCATGCATAAGAATAAAGGGGGGCCCTTCAGAATACCAGTGTGTGCTTCTCTATGAGTATGTGTTTTACCCACAATGAATTGAGCAGAACAGAAGGTGAGAGGCAGCAGGGTGCCAAATTCTGGGTTCACACAGGGTGCTGCCAAAATTTGAAAGATCAAAGTCTGCCCATGGGTCCAAGGAAGGGCTTCTTCCGGAGCAGCCTGTGATTGCCTGCCTCCTTTACAGCAGGTGGGCCTGTGCCTTCCCAAAACTTGGCATTTTAAATTTAACAATTCTAAAATTATTATTATTCAAATTACAGTAATCTAATAAATAAAATTTACTATGAGTTTCCTAGTTGAAGAATCTGCAACATTTATGCACTCACTGAAATTTACTTTCCCTATTTATACATGCTTACAAGGAACAACTAGGTTTTGAATCATTTTTATGTTTTAAATTATATTTTATTAAGTTTCAACATTTTTAACATATACAGTCAAAACACAGTTTCATATTTTATTTTTATTCCACCGCCCCACCCCCCATTTTCCATGGCGTTGTTGTTTATCTCCTTCTGCTGCACCCTACTTCTACCTCTATCTTCTACCTACCAAATCATAACCACAATATTATAATCTAATCTAATGTATTATATTTCTAATCTAATCTAACCATTTCATCTTTTGTCTCCCATTCTAATATCAATTTACCGGTATACATTTTTGAAATCCGTTTTTCTTTTCCTTCAAGTAAAATCAGAACTTCATTCTATAAACACCTTTTTAAATTATTCATTAATTTGATCATATTGAAACCAATCCATTACCCATTCTCGGATTTCTTCAAACTTTTTCAATTTGTATACATTTCCAGAAAAATACAGTATGTCTATATCTGCCCCAATTCTCCATCATATTAAGTTTCTTTTGTGTACTAGTTTCTACAGGGGGTAGCCATAAAGGTGTTTCCCTTTCAAGTAGATCTTGGTATCTTGTCCACATTCCATAGGCTTTGAATAATTTCTACTTCTTAGATGCGGGAACATGACGTAATTCATTGATGCCATTGTGTCTACTCTGTTTGTTTCATTTTTTGGCACCTGGATTTATACCACTATCCTGGCTAAATGAAAGGGCTTCACTAATTCTGAGCTATTCCAGGGCTAGCTGGATGCTTTCCCATTCTGTACCCACAATCACTCTTCCAAATTCCATGGAAGAATCCTTAGTGGAGAACTATCTAGCTCTGCAGTCACAGATCCTGTGGAGAAGAAGGGATAAAGCTCCCCAACATCAAGTGTTTTATAAGTGTGCAATTTCCTTTTGCTGCAGACATCATAAAAAGATAAGCTTCCAGCTGATTTATCTAGGAATATTCCTAATTTTGTAAGCTTTCCTTTCACTTTCAGGCGGGTCCATTGCTCTGGCCATACCCAGTAATCTTTCCTATCATCACATCTCATGACCCAGTAGCCATTCTCAGGAGACAGGGTGATCTCCCCCTTTCTAGAAGCAGTTGCAGAGGCAACTCCCAATTCCCAGGTTTTCTTCTGACCAATCTCCACCTCCCAGTAATGTTTGCCTTCTGAATATCCACATTCTGCCAGAATGAACGTGTGGGAGTCAAACCGCTCCTCTCAGTCAGAAACCTTAGAAACATTTCCTGTGTTCCAAACACTTTTGCCATCTTTGGACACTTCTAGCTTTGGGTGAGCTGTCCTGGGGTCCAAGACCACATCAGCTGCAAAGGAAATGAAAGGGCTGAACTCAAAATGCACAGACTGGAGGGTTGCTTTATGTAACTCTTTGAGGACACCAGCATTCCTTTGTGGGTTACACACTCATCTGCTGCTACATGGCATTGTGACATATTATGGAAAATATATTAGCTCTGGGTGAGCTGTCCTGGGGTCCAAGCTCACATCAACTGCAACAAAAAGAAAGGCCTTGATTCAAAGGCACAGACTTAAATGAAGCATATAAATTAAGTAAGGCGGTCTCTGGGCATCTCTCTTTTAAGTCACCCGTCTGTGAACCACACTCTCATCTGTCTGCTGGGCAGCTGAATATTCCTGCCTTGCAAAGAGTTCGACTAGCTGATCCTCAGGGTCCCTTGTCACTCTACATTTCTATGATTCTATGATATGATGAATAATACAAAGTTCTATCCAAGCTTTCGGCATTGCATGATTCACCCTCTCTCTACAACAATGTGATTCTTCTATATTCCTCAGCATAGCTCCTTACGCTTTAGCCATCTGCAACATGTTTAATGTGCTAAGCACATTCTGGTCACATTAATGATGGTCATCCTCACTTTTGCATGTGCTTACCTGTCAGTCCATTTCCACATTGATCTACCCTTCCCAGTATACCTATTGAAACACATTGTATAAAGTGTTTCCCCTCAAAATGTGCATTTAAAAATGTCCATGCTTTTCTTAAGCCAAACAGTATTAGATAAGTAAACTAGTCCAGTAGGTGTGGATATGGACTACAACTCCCATCAGCCCCAAACAGTATGACCAATAGCAAGGGATGATGGGATTTGCAGTCTAGCACCATCTGGCAGTACACAGGTTGAGCTACCCATTGTAGGGTGATTTGAAGAAGCCCAATATCCACTATCCATTCTGCACATGATTTTGCATCCTCCTCACCTCTGTAAAAGCAGGCATCTAAGAATTCTGTGAATAAAAGAATGAACATAAAGGTTTCATTGGCAAGAATGTGATGGGCACTTTTGTCAGTGCTTTTTTTCTAAAAAAATGTTTAGTGGTACTCTCATTTTACTCAAGAAAATCACCTTTCTATAGTTTAGGTCAGGGAAAGTAAATACAGAAAACTGACAAAAGTACAAAGATTCACCAAATGTAGTACCCCTGAGACCCCCCCAGAAAAACGCACTGACTTTTACTCATTCTACAACCTACAAAACAAGCACAATTTATTTTTTTGCTCAGTTAAAATATTTCTTCTCTACACTTCCATGGATCCTAAGGCAGTATACATAAGGGTAAATAAACCTATTCATACTTCACATCAACACCATGGGTTGGATCCAGATTTAGCCATGCTTAGAACATACTGTTTGAAATCAGTTCTAAAAGCATAAGTTAGTATCTACACATCTCTGGCACAACAATATAGCATAATATTATATATTTCTAAGATGAGGAAAATGCAGCACTGACAGCTTTTTCAAAACTCTGCACAGATACAAATTGAAATTTAGGAACTGCTCAAATCCCTTATGTCCAAAACTGATGAAAATTTGATAATACAAAAGCTTGAAGTGTGTCTCCTCTTTGGGAGCACACCCTTTTTGGTTAATTCCTAGACTAAGTGCAAACAAAACAGGGGAATGAAGTGGTTGTGGCATGTGTGGTATTTTTTATGATTCCGGAATATTTATTTTCGCAACACATATACACATTGTGGTTCGAGGACCCGATCCCCACTTAGTGGAATGAAGACACACGGACACGTAATATAAGGTTAATGGGCAAGAAAAGGCCACAACTTTATTGATTACAGCAAGTGAAAAGGTATTGGCTTAGGCATTGGTTCACGTCAGTTGACTCCACCCACTCGGAGAGGGGTGAGTCTAAAAGGGGGTTTATTCACCAGTAGGTGGAGCCTGTTGATGCTAATCCAACTATAAGCTCTCCCCTGATGTCACCGAGGGTCGTGCCATGGCCCCCCGCCACACAGGCATCGGACAAGATCCACGACCGCCGGATTCCTTTAACGGAATACCCAAAAATTGAAGGCGTAGGCGATGGCCACACCTAGCCCTTCCACACACCACAAACACATTATTCCAATGCCTAACCTACCCACCAATACCACGAAAGTTGTGACGGTTGCTACACGGTAGGCGAAAAAACCACAAAGCCTAATGCCAAATGGAAAAATTCCTACCAGGGCCCCTGGACAACCTGAGCGAGCAACCTAAGGTCCATAGCAAGGCCAAGAGAAAAACTAAAACCCTGAGCTCTAAGGGAGTGGAGGGTGGGTGACTCACGACGGGACAGCGAAAAGTAAGGCCGCGTGGCTGGCGCAGCAGCAAGTTAAGCTGCCGTCCACGCCCCTTCCAAGCCACCTGGTTGGGCTCTTGCCCATGGGCGTGGCGCACCAGCCAGGTGAGTGAGTGGCAGGGGCTAACGCCCTTGCTTGAGGCGGAGATCGGCTCCCTCCCACAACCCCTCCCCTCTTTGCAGGAGGAGAGTCTTATCCAAAATGTTAGACTACTTGCCGTTTTCAATCTTCAAGGTTTCTGCAAAAGAAAATTTGCATGGCTTACAAATGAAGAACCTCATTCAAATTAAAATAGAAAATCAAATTCCAAAAAAATCAGTTTGTAATGTCTTCGCTTATCCCGTTATATAGAATTAGCAACAAAGACTTGTATACAAAGGACCCCTTACACTGACGGAAGTCTTTTTCTGTCAAATGTTTAATTTATGTTTTAAAATTTGCATATTGTATATTTTATTGTTGTAAGATGCTTTCATACCTCTATAGGATATGCATCTTATAATAAATAAATATAATACCCCTTCCATCCATCAGAGGAAAGCAACCTTTGGTCCAGGTTGAGTCAAAATGGAGGGGAAGAGGGTAAAGGGAAAATATTTTAAGTGTGTGCATTGCTTACATCGGTGATTTTTTTCTTAAGTCTTTGGTGTCAAAAGCTCCTCCATTCTCTTTTCCAATTTAAAGAGACAGGGAGCCCTACTAGCTGCAGTGTCAAGACCAAGTATGGTTATTTGGCAATGACACAACATTCATTGCACAGATCAAAACCAATCTAGACACATGATGCCCCTGTTTTCATCAGAGAAATGTTAAAGGGTATGATATGGTTCTGGGGCAGACCCAAGCTGCTCAGCAAACATACAGAGGATGGCAAAATGGAGGAAGCCACTAGGATTCTGCATGTTCAAAAACTGAAAGATTTTGCAAGACTTACCAGTCTCTGCTTTTAATTCATCTGCAAAAGTGGCGGGGAGAGAGAAAAGAAAGAATTACCGTATTTTTTGCTCTATAAGACTCACTTTTCCCCTCCTAAAATGTAAGGCGAAATGCGTGTGTTTTTATGGAGCGAATGCAGGCTGCGCAGCGATCCCAGAAGACAGAACAGCAAGAGGGATCACTGCTTTCGCTACGTAGCGATCCCTCTTGCTGTTCTGGCATCTGGGATTCAGAATATTTTTTTTCTAGTTTTCCTCTTCCAAAAACTAGGTGTGTCTTATGGTCTGGTGCGTCTTATAGAGCGAAAAATACGGTATGTTTCTTTTCTGATTTATAGAGACAGAGAGCACTACTAGGTGCCATTTCTCTTCAGCTGCTCAGTAACCCTCCCCCCCCACCCAAATACATAGGATGGCGAAATGGAGAAAGTCACTTAGATTCCGCATGTTCAAAAACTGAACGATTTTGCAAGACTTACCATTTCTTAGCATTAATGCAGCTGCAAAAGGGGGGGGGGGTAGAAAAAAAGAAAGAATTACATTTCTTTTCCGATTTATAGAGACAGAGAGCACTACTAGCTGCCATTTCTCCTCAGCAGGTTATGACAATATCACTATGTCAAGGCCAAAAATGGCTGCTTGGCAATGACACAGCATTTGTTGCACAGAACAAAACCAAACTAGGCACATAGTTCTGGGGCATGCACAAAGTTCCAGCAGACCCAAGCTGTCCCCTGCCCAACACACACACACCTCCCACCACATTGGATGGCAAAATGGAGAAAGTCATTTAGATTTACATGTTCAAACCTGAACGATTTTGCAAGACTTATCATTTATTGCCTTTAATTCATCTGGAAATGGAGGGGGCAGATCTACAAATTTTGGTTTCTCTCCATTTTTCATTTTTAATCTTAAATTTAGTTTGCCATGATTCTGCATTTTTTCTTCATGAAAATTCATCAACATTTCAGTCCTTATTTCTCGTAATACACACATTTTTGAAGGCAATTTCCTTTAATATGATGCATTATTTTCACTAATATGTGTATTTTTGGGGTACACTTTCCTCTAATATAAATTGTCATTTTGGTTTCCATCTTGATTTGCTATGTCCAAAGCAGGTAGATCCACATTAAAATGTAAACCACACTAAATTTTTCTGTTGGGGAAGTGACTCTGATTGCCTGAAGCAGCTTTTGAACTATGCTCATTTTAAGGCAGTTTAAGGAGCTATTAATGCCTGTAGTAAATACGTATTGATTTAACTGGTATGTATTTCTTCTCTGTATTCAAAAACACACCACTCATTTTTATAAACATAGGTACAAAAAAAGAAGGTTTCTGTAACAGTTCACATCTACAGTTAAATGTAATGAAGAAAATGACAGATTTAAAATACTTACATCTCACACAAAGAAGAAGGCAGATGGAAAGCAACAGAATGATTAGGAAGGGTCCTAGCCAAGGGAAAGTGGTAGGATAAAGGGCACCTGAAACACACATTAAAATCTCAGTTACAGCCACATATTTCTCCTGAAGAAGATTTCAAGTTGCAAAACTAACCTAACCAGAGTCTGCCTTTGCCACTCACTTTCATGGCCCCAAACTCTCCTGAACTTCCTATTTTGGGAGGGATTGAGCTGAAGTTGTGCCGAGCGGGTGAACTTCAGCTGTGACCTGCCTGCCTCTCTGCTGAATAGTGGATATGGGATATAAGCCAGAAGACACTTCAGCCATTACCCCAGATGATAACTGATGAAATGCTGCTGAGCAGAACTACAGTGTTACTTCCGGTTATGAACTTGATCCGTTCCGGAGTCCTGTTTTTAACCCGAAACTGTTCTTACTATGAGGCGCGCTTTCGCTAATGGCGCCTACCGCTGCTGCCACACCACCAGTGTGCGACTTCCGCACACATTCTGGGGAAAAGTTCGCAACATGGGAATCTACTTCCGGGTTAGCAGAGCTCGTAACCCAAAGCATTCGTAAGGAGGGCAGTACGTAATACAAGGTTCCACTGTACAGCCGTAGATAATCTGCATAATCCATTCAAACAAAGAGCATGGCGTACTTCAGACTCATCAAAATCGAATAAATTTCCCAAACTTCTCTCTTCTTATAGTACTTGTACTGAAAACACAGTGAAAGCATTTCACCTCTTGGCACTTTTGCTTCACCCCTACTCACCAGAAATCAGGATTCTCGATTCACTCTCCATCTCTAGAAGTTCGTTGATAATATTGCAAGAGACTTACTTCATGGTCAACTCCTGATTCTGTTGTAACGGAACTGGAAACACTGAAGTTCCCTGCCTTGGTCTCTGTGATTGTAGCGTCTGACTGTTTACTTCGGACTTTCCCTTCACTGTCCAGCCAGAAAGCCTTGGGCTTTGGGTACCAACCATTGGAGCTGCAGGTGAGGCCAATCCCCCAGCCTTTATAGTCCACCAAGGCAATGGTGGGCTCTGTTCCTTTTGCTGCACAAGAAGAACACTACATATTAATTTTCCATTGCTCCAAGTATCATAGAACTTGTCTAGAACACATGGGTCAAAGATCTGAAGAATAGGACTATACCTGTACAGTTGTTGGAAGGAAGAAATAAAATATAAAATTGCAAGATCCACTGGTCACCATTTATTAATTACTGTCAACAGTTCTGTCTACTCTATTAAAAAAAAAACAACAGGCATTTTTGTACATTAATCTTCATGTGATGTACTTTGGCTTTGTTAAAACTTCATTTATGCTATATATACCAGGAATGGTATATATTATGCAAATCTGTATCCTCTTTTGCAAATGGGTCAGAGGACCGTATTCAATACAACAACAACAATCTTTATTACGGTCCAGAGACCCAACGAAACATTACAAATCAATACACAGTTCATACAGCCTACCTCCAGGTTAATTAATCATTTTGTTTAGAATATAGGGCTCATTTGTTCTTGCAACCACCAATAAAAACTTTGCCACTGCCAACATTCTAGCTTTTGTCCGGTCTTCCAGTAGGAACCTGACATAGTGAGCCTCTGATTTTCCCGGGAAAGGCACCAGCAAGGGTAGTATCAGTTCAGCCCTGGCCTGCTCATACTTTGCACAATGCAATAAAATATGATTTATGGAATCGATGTCTTGAGCACACGAGCAAAGTCTGTCCTGGTAGGGAACTCCTCTCAGCCTACCATCCAGCACTGCAGAGGGGAAGACATTTAGTCTGGCTTTAGTGAAAAGCCTTTGATAGTTAGGTACTGTCAGGTTTTTGATGTAAGATGTTAACTCAAAGACATACCCATATTGAACTCCTGCTGCCAGCGGACTACAGACTGCGTGTGATCGAGATCGCAAGTCACTGTGTGCATTGTCCCATAATCTTTGCTTTAAAACCTTTTGGGTGCCTTCATAACCCAGGTAATACAGTTGGGGGAGACAGACCAATAGAGGTGGCTTTTTGGCCATGATTTTCTGCCATTTGCTGACAAATTCCTCATTGGTCAAATGTTGGTACAGACCCTTCCCTAAATTAAACACTGAAATCCTGAGCCAATGTTTTAGGGCAGCCCACCACGCTCCAGCTGAAATTGGGCATTCACCAGCTTCCAACAGAAGTACGGAGTTGGGGACGCAGTTAGGTACCTGCAGCAGAGATCGTATAAATTTTGCCTGAAAGCCATCTAGCTTTGGCAGGTCCCCATTATGCCAGACATTTGCTGCATACAGGAGTTGGGAAACGGGCTTTGCATGAAAACCCTTAAGGCTGCTGGAACATATTTGCCGCCCTTTGTGAAGAAGAATCTATGTATGGCTAGCTTTGTAATCTCTGCCTTTTGAAGGGAGGTTTGCCAATGGTGCTTCCAAGATCCTGTATGATGGAATGTGAGCCCTAGGTAACTGAAGTATTTTACCTGTTCAAGGATATGGCCATCCAGCACCCATTTAGACTGGGAGAATCTTCTTTCGAAGACTAAAATTTTAGATTTTTCATAATTAATGGATAAACTATTTCCAGAACAGTAATCAGAAAATTTCCGCAACAGATAATTCAAACCCGGTCTGGAACGCGAGATGATGGCTGCGTCATCAGCATACAACAACAAAGGGGTCCTTCTCATTTCTGTTTTTGGAATATGTCCATCTGGGTCCATTAAGTTCTCTTCTAGGTCATTTAAGAATAGACAAAACAATGTGGGGGCCAAAATACAACCCTGTCTCACCCCCCTAGTCATCTCGATGCTGTTCGATAGCTGTCCCTGTCGACCGCATCAGACCTGCAGTTTGGTTCCATTGTACAGGGCTTTTATAAGAGAGAGAAGTCGTTTGTCCTGCAAAATCAGACTCAATTTGGACCATAGCCGGGGTCTCGGGATGGAGTCAAATGCTGATTTCAGATCCATAAAGGCCATGAAGAGTTTACCCTGTAGAGGTCTGGTATACTTCTCAGCTAGGAAGGACAGCATTAGACAGTGGTCTGCTGTTGAATGGTTCTCACGAAAAGCTGCCTGGGCTTCAGATAGTATATCATGTTCATTTAGAAAAGTTGTAAGTTTGCTACTGAGGAAAAGGGCATACAGCTTCCCAATTATTGAGAGCAGGCTAATAGGCCTATAATTGGAAGGTACATTTGGGTGGCCTCTCTTAAAGATTGGAACTACTATAGCATGTTTCCAGCTATATGGTACCTTACCTGAGTTATTTACTACTGTAAAGAGTGCTGCCAGAAGCGGAGGGCGATCTGGCTGCGACATCTGTCACCCCATTGATCGCCAGGGTTGATTCGGCTGATCTGGCTGGCTAGGCGGGTGTCCCCTTCCTCCCTCACCGCTCCATGTGCGTCCCTCCTGAAGCTGCGCACTCGGTGGAAGAGGACGACCATCCCAGATAGAAGGAGTGTACCGTTCTTCGGTCAAGGGTATACGATAGCTGTGCTCCCCTGCTAGAACCTCCAAACAAGCTAAAGGTATTCAATACAGTGTTTTGTCTTCCTCGTAGCCAAGCTATTTTTGAAGTTTATTTTTCTATTATGATGTATTTTTGTTATTCCAATTATCTTAATTTGAACTTACTTTATTTATCTATTTATTGTATTTATTTCACACCACTTTTCAGTCAATGCACTTGAGGTCGTTTACAATTTTAAAATAGTAGATCAAAAATGTAGTGACAGAGACCTCTCAGGTTGACTGACAACTTATGGCATTTGATCTTGGCCTCGGTTTCCTTGCCATCCCTCAAGGCAGATGGCACTTTAATAGCCCCAGAGAAGGTGAATGAGGGCTGTTCCAGTAGTTTTCTCAGGCCACCTATCAGGAGCTGATTTGCCATGCTCCCTAGCCTGGGCATCCCAGTTTCTGATTTTCCTCAAGGAAGACGGTAGCCCTAGGGACACTGGGGGAGGGGCTGCCTCAATGATTCTGTCAAGTCAATGATATGGACTCTCTGGCCTGGGCTCACTTGCTTTTATGGGTTAATATATTTAGTGATTTTTTTGGTCATGCATTTGATGTTTATTTCTTTGAACACAAATTATGTGGGGAAATGGTAAACAAATAAAGTGGCAATGATACTGGTAAGTCTTTTTTCACTTTCCTGTAGAGTTGGAAGGAAGTTGAAACGAGATTGCTACTTATAAATCATACATTCACTACAGTGTCCCCTTTTGTCTTTATTTATTATTATTTTAAATAAAATAAAGGGAATTATAGCTGTGTATTTCTAAACCACAGAGCCTAGAGCTTGCCGATCAGAAGGTTGGCGGTTCGAATCCCTGTGACGGGGTGAGCTCCCGTTGCTCGGTCCCAGCTCCTGCCAACCTAGCAGTTTCAAAGCACATCAAGTGCAAATAGATAAATAGGTACCGCTTCGGCGGGAAGGTAAATGGCGTTTCTGTGCGCTGCTCTGGTTTTCCCAGAAGCAGCTTAGTCATGCTGGCCACATGACCCAGAAGCTGTACTCCGGCTCCCTTGGCCAGTACTGTAAAGCGAGATGAGCGCCGCAACCCCAGAGTCATCCGCAACTGGACCTAACAGGCAGGGGTCCCTTTACCTTTACCTTTACCTTTACCTTTATTTCACCACACTAGCAGAATGTATGTGTCAACTAAAGCTGTTTTCTATAGGCATGCTTATCTGAAAATGAGGCATGTATAGGATTTTACTTTGGTTTTTATATAATACATTTTATGTTCTTACCCTATTTCAGTTTAGATCTGATAAAAAAAATGTATTGCATATATATATATATATATATATATATATATATATAAGCTATCTACTCTGTCTCTATTGCAAGTAAACAGATTATGTTTCCAACACCCTCACACATCTTGTCAGCATTTCAGATAATCGAATATACTGCTCCAATATTGTTAAACCACAATACTAAATTTTAAAAGTTGCAGGTAAATTGTGTTGTGCAGCACCATGTATGCATGTCACACAGTTACTGCTCTTTCTGTCCTACACCACTCACTAATCCACTTTCCTCATGTAAATGTTGATACAGAGCTTTTCACAACACAACATATTGAGCTATAAGAAATATTCCCATAATGGGAAACTGCATCCTCTGAAGTGAAAAACAGGTTTTGTAGAAAGAGTCTAGAAATGGCTGGTTATACATATGTACTGAAATGAATGACTATATGGGAGATCCATATTTAACTGAAGAGCTTGAAAAGCAAGACAAACCCTTCAAGTTGAGAGATGGTCAATGACATCCCAGACTCAGAAGACCAGGAACGTGGTGGAAAAAAGTCTGAGACGTCCCATGGCAGAGCTAACTCTGTGTGCCAAGGGATAAATATCACTTGCCAGTGTCAAATGGGAGTGGCAGAGAAGCAGCCATTTCATGTGCATTACAAATGAAAGAAGCAATGACCAGTATTCAGGCTTGTGTGGCTAGGAAGGATCTCTGCAGAAAGGAGAAAGTCACTTTCATTCTTCTTTCAAACACACACACACATTTATGTTTGTAAACTTACATTTTGCATGGAAGCCCCTGAAATTTATTATCATAAGTATATTTACAAATGTGACTTGAAAGTTTCTACACGAAGATAAACTAATCCTATATATCCTGAATGGAAGCAAAGGAAAATCTTCTCTCCTTTCACCTCACCACCAATTCATCATTAAACAAACACATTCCAATAACTAAAAAAATTAAATGTAATTATGGAAATATTTTTCTTACCTTGTAGCAAACTGTGAGATTTGTTCGTCAGTTCCTGTACCTTGCTCCCGCTTCAGGTGGACCTGTGTTATGGAAATTATTTACTTTCATTTTCCTGCTCTGCATCAAGATAAGTAACTGCCAACAATTTGCTCTACGGTTAATGGCCCTGTGACATTCAGCACCTGCCTCCAAAGGATAGAGGAGTGTCCCATGCAAACACTTAGCTCCACCGATACTTGTAGAGCTAATGCAGTGATGACAGGGCTTCATTTGAAAGGACAGTCCTATATGAACGGCTCTCTACCCCAAGTCTGGTTTAAAGATAACCTTAAGAAGGGAGAGCAGAGATGTTGAAGTACTGCAGCAACAATTAGCCTCAGGACAACAGTCTGAGCTGTCACACAAGTCTCCTGGTCACAGACTTCCGTTCTATGATGAGCTGTGCTGAAATTCTATTTAAAATATAGCAATTATTTCTATATTTACATCTATAGGGGAAAGTGGGGCACATTGATACATCAACAATATTTCAATATCGAGGAATGTTATCTGTGTCACAACATCACTAAAATGTGTCTATACATGTATGAGTACAACAGTTGCGACCGCACCGCCCACCAGCTAGGCGTTGGCGTTTGACGAGTAGGTGTGTTTATAGCAAGGCCAACTAAAAAATTATGTGAAATGTAAAAGTGTTCCAACACTGTTTTACATCATTTAGTTAAGATTTTAAAATACCAAGGATAAGTTATTCCACTCAGTAATCAGGATTACACATGATTTTTAAATAAGTTCAGTGGTTTTATTAATAATTGTTAGGGTTTTTAGAAAATGTCCACTGGGGCACTTTGATACACTAAGGCGGCACACTGACACATATAAAAGTGTCCCACTAGTGTACAATAGTGCCCCAATATACAAGTTTGCATGAAATCTCTAAACTCATTAAATTTGAAAAGAAAAAAATGTTGTTTATACGTGGCCAAAGTCATTTCTAAATATAATATGACCTATTATCAAGTGTCATCTCTCAGGAAAAGACCAGGATCTTGTATGTTTGTCTTCCTCATTGTAGAAGATAAGGCAAGCGTTGATTTCAAGGATGTTTGCCATTGCCAAACCAAATTTCCCAAACATCTCGAACATCATCTCTTTATACTTTTTTCTATTGACTTAAGTGGATATAATGTGCAAGTGAAGCTAAATGTTAAGTAATTATCTTATTTTTTATAAACATTTTGTTTAAATTACTATTTTTTGACTATCTAATGTGAGTTCTTAAACTTTTTAAGTTTTTCCAAAAAATATATTAATGGATAAGTGTTTGAGGAAAGATTAATATAAGTTTTGATGTTTTGTTAAGAAAACTTGCCATAAAGTCTATGATATGTATGAAACACTGTTAGATTGGATACCTACAGTTGTAACTTGTGTTGCGTCCGGGATCCGTTCTGGCGCCCCGGCTGCGAGCTGAAAAGGACCCATGACAAAGCATGATTTAGCCCTTCTGCGCATGCATGAGCAGCAAACCCGGAAGTAACCATTCTGGTACTTCTGGGTTTGCCGCGGATGTTCGACGAAATGGATGCTCGACGAGGCAGACTCACACCAAGGTACCACTGTAATTTAGATTTTAAGTAACAAATTATAAGGCTGATTGTGATCTCTCACAATAAAAATTGTTTTTTCATTACAGTTTTGCAAATAATTACCATTCTCACACAATTTACGCTTCGTATCAAAGTGCCCTGTCCAATGTATCAAAGTACCCTGTAGGTGGGACAGAATGATACAAAATCCATTTTTACTAAAGTCATCATATTCTTATTATCTTCTAACTTTAATGGTTCTTTTGATTGTTCTTATAATATTGATTAGTTATGCCATGCATCAAGCCAAAATTTGACTTATTTTGGTACATATAAGATTGAATCTTTCTGTATCAATCTGCCCCACTTCCCCATATGTGATGTATAAATCAGAACATGCAAACTGATGCCCTCTTTTCCTTGATTTCTTTATGCTACTAGACGTTAAAGGAGGAGATTCAGCAGCGTATGCAAGCACAGAGCTCATTCATTCGAAATCACGAAAGATCAGGCAACCTGAATTTATGCAGTGAATGTGCTGCTTAGCCCTGTTTATTGCCTTGCTTGCTACAAATCTACTTCTGCTCAGCTATGGTTTCTTTCTTCTCAATAATTTAATGTGATTGGCATCCACATGGAAGAGTGCACTTTCAATGGTGAAGTCAAACTGTTGGCAAGTTACAGCGCCTGCTGTGGCTGTGGAAACTGATACCAGGGACAAATGTTTTTCATGTGGTTGTGCTGCTGTAGAGGCTCTATGGTGTTTATTCTCTCTGTGCTCCTCTTAGCAGTTATTCCTCCTCTGGTCACTGCTGTGGATGTACAACCTGACTGTCTGACTCTAGGCACTGCGGTCATCTGCAAGGGATTCCCATGTGACCGGGTTAATGTTGGCAGCCTTCATGTCACATCTACAGACATGTGATGTACACAACTACATTTACTCTTAGATCCTGAGATTGAGAAATGACATCTGTCAAGAGCACACAATGTCAAGTTCTCATGGGCTTTCTTCCTGGAGCTATGTCTCATTGTGCCACCACCAAAGGGTTCTTTAGAGCAGGTACAATGGAAATCTGGGCACAGTCCAAGGTGTACTAGCTGCTTGCAAGGTAGAACAGCACCTGAGCCCTTGAACTGGTAAGCGGTGGCTTTGCAGGATGTCTCCACTGCCCCCAATGAGATCCACTGATGGATACCTCTAACAGTAGTCTCCTGCTTGTGGAGAAGCCTATTGGCTCTCTCCGCTGGTTAGAATTCAGGGTTCAACATCTTCTGAAG